ACAATACCAGAAGACGGAATGTTAGGGCAAGCTGTATATTTTAACATTACACATTACACCTGTTTGACTGTCTTCCAACTGCACATGTCACATGACTGTTTTGGTCCAATCATGATCAAGTGATTACACCTGCAGTAGAAGTTTGGCTAGTTTAATTAGCTTAAGCTGGATAATAACCCTGAGGAAGCCCACTTGTGAAGATCTCTTGTATCTGAATCAGAACACATGAAGCGTTGCAGTGACTTCTGAGCTTGTTGTAATTTAGATGAGCTGACACTTAAATACTGAAGAATTATTCAACATTTTCTCAATGCTTCTTATTCATGGCAACATTAAAAGTAAAATTAAAAGTATTCATTCTGTGACTGCCTCTCTTTATGGCCGTGAGGTATCTGTCCTGCTCAGCCACAGCCCCAACCTCATCAGCGTCAGGTCAGCATCCAGGACTGTCCTGGACTCAGCAACTCAAGTCTCTGAAGACAAAGACGTGTTTGGACAGTCCAGCAGCAGTGAGGAAGAAGAGGAGAGCTCATAGGACGGACTCTGCAGACAGTACTGTCCTGGTCACTTGATGGACAGACACTGAGGAATGTGGAATATGTGACATTATAGGACACAAACTAAAACCTTAATATTGCTCCAATCACTTTACAGTGTTGAGTGTAAACAGTGGTAGTTTTAAGACCAACATCTGAGCACCACTCAGTTGGATTCGATTCTATTAGTTTTAGCTAGGTGTTCCTAATAAACTAAACAGTGATCTCTGTGGCCACAAGTGACAATTACACAGTCAGTGGTGGAAGAAACAGTCTGTTACAAGTAAAAGTGCAGAAGTATTAGTATACATATATACTTGAAGCAGTAAAAGTACTCACTGTGCAATGGTACCGTACTCTATAATATATTATTGGGTTATGATTATTGATGCATCAGTGGGTAAAGTTTGGGATAATTATAACTACTTCCTCATGCACTGCTGGGTAGCTAGCTCTATGATAATGTGTCATTTTGTATATTTTGATTATGTTTGTATTGTTACTCAGAATCTGTAACTAATAACTAAAGCTGTTGTGTAAATGTAGTGGAGTAGAAGTCAACATGGAAATACTCAAATAAAGTACCTGTACCTTTAAGAAAAGTACAGTTACTTTCCACCACTGTGCAGGAAAAGAATGAAAACTAAATAGTTAATTGTAAAATGTGAATACTGTGCTGTAGAGTAAGACAAGAGTTAGAAAGTCATCAAATTAACTAAGAAATGTTTTCGAAAATTTACTAACATTAACTAACATTGGCTACCACAAGTTACTCATCACACCAGACCAAGTAAGACTGTAGCAGCAAAACACATAAGTGTGTACTGAATTTAACAAGGATGAATTACTGCTTGTGAATTCAACTTTTCTTTGATCAGAAGAAGGATATTCATTTCTTTTTTTCCCATGACTAAACAGGGCTAGAATATGTACATGTGATTTTTTTTCACATGTGAAAACACATGTAAAATGTGTGGAACACGTGCTGTCACATGAGAAATATGTGGTTTTAGAACATTTTCATAGTGTAATGTGTGAAGCTCATGTAAATTCCAATGTGAAACCCATGGGAATACTTTTGAGAACCATGCAAACACATGTCAAACCTGTGGGATTACATGTAAAACCTATGGAAATATATATGAAACCTATGTGCATAGTTTGTTGTTGTTTATTTGCATGTCTGCCAGTACTCACATTACTGCACTTGTTATGGTGAAACTCCTGCAGTATTTGTGACATGTTACAACACATTTGATACATATGATCAAATGTAGGAAGCACATGTATTCACATGTGGAAAACGAGAAATTCATGTGGTTTTTCTGTAAGGGGCCTTTTGGACAGTGTGCTGTTAGCAACTTATTAGAGCATATTTAATTTAAAATGTATGAATTTCATGTTTTATTGTTTATGTACAATCACTCTCCCAGCCTATGAGATTAAAAAAAAGCTACCTTAATTTAGCACTCAAGTAGTCCACTCCAATTTGGGTGAACACATACAGGATACAACAACTTAGCTTGGGTGAACCATTGGAGAATGTACTTAATTAGTTATTTTCAGTTAAAGGTCCATATTTTCCACTTCCTGTGTTTTGATCCATAAGCAGATAGAAGATAGGAGATACATAGATGTTACTGTGTTATTGTGATGTCACCAGTGACTTCACAGAATGTGATCTTTGAACACAAATGAACAGTGATGATGTCATCAGTTTCCTTTGATTCTAGCTGAGCTTCATTTAGAACAAGACATTTCTCCTTTATCATCACGTGTGTGAAGTCAAGAACGAGAAACATTAGCATTGTTAGCATCTAAAAAACTTGAACCATGAGAAAGGCTTCCTGCAACATGACCTTAAGGAGCATACGGTACCGGCACTGTACACTGGTCCCCATCTCCCAGGTGGATCAGACCCTGTTGGGGAACCTAAAACCCAGACCACCAGCCAAACATGGAAACTCCATGGCCAACAACAAGTCTCAAGAAGGTGAGACCGGTAAAATCGCCACCAGTGACCTGACTCCCAATCTCAGAGAAGAGTTGACGATTTCCAGACTGAGGGCCGGAAGGGAGAAGCCTGAGTTTGAGAGGGTGCTGAAGGTGCAGCAGAAGGACGCGGAGGAGAAGCAACATCTGAGAGCGCTGCATCACGCTGAAACCATCCAACCACAGATGGAGGACCGTGAGCTCTCCGCCATCACCACACGCAGAGGGAGCTTCAAGGAAGCCGCTCAGCTGGCCAAAGAAGAGCAGCAAAGACGTGCACGCCTCAGTGAGATCAGACAGGAGACGCTGATGGAGCTCCAGGCAATGGGAATCCCTGACAAATACTGTAGGCCCGTGGAAAAGACGGCAAGGGCCTGCACGCCGAATCTACAGAGCCGGGACCAGCAGAACCTGCCACTCAGGTCTAAAGAGACCTGTGAGACTGACCTGAGGCCAACCTGCCTGCCCCCCATCTCCAGATCAACTAAAGCCACCTTCTGCAAGCTGCAGCGGGCGTCTGCAGCACCAACAAATACCCTCCTCCCGCCCATCAGAGCAACAGCCACACAGAGGTCCAGAAAACAGTGATCTGGACCACACCACCCACCCCATCCTCTAACCCCCCCCCATCCCTAACCCTCCTCCCCATCCCCTAACCCCCCCATTTCCGTTCTTTACCCTCCAGCATTTCCCTTTTCTTTCTCTTTCTTTCTTTCCCTTTTATTCCTCTTCAGTTTGGAAGGTGTTTTGTTTTGTTTTGTTTCGTTTGTTTTGCAAAGTTTCATGATGTGAATGAAACTTTAAATTTGAAAATCAGCAACATCAAAAACAAAACCACCTTTCATAACTAAATAAATTATAAAAAAAAAAAAAGAAGAAATGTCTGGACTTACATAATGTTCATATTTATATGGCTGTGTTTCTATGGAAACATGGAATTAAAACCCAGAGTTTTTGCAATGAAGATCATTTGAAATTAAACAGAAGAAACACCTACATGTAAAGGATGAGCCAGTGTAAAGTTGTGTCATGTAGGAAATATTTCAAAATAAAATTAACAGTGTACATTGTTTTGTTAAATTAACGATACAAAATACAAATGCAAAAACTGCAGGAGTGTGAGGAATGGACATTTTCAAAACAGCTCAACAAGACAACCAAAGAAAATCTCTGCACCTACTCTTCAACCAATTGACTGGTCATGGGAAAAAAATCATTAACTCTAGATTAAAGCTCCATATTTACATCCTTCGTTTTATTTGAGGTGTTGATCCATAAGAAGATTTATTTGTGGTTTGAAGAACCAAAAACTATCTCAATGTAGTTTTACATCTCCTCTCTGGAGCTCTATTAACAATGGGTCAGTGAGCCAATCAGAGGAGAAGAAGCTCTGAGCCTCTTGTCTGATTGGCTGACTGTTTTCCAGTGTTCCAATAAAAATATAGCAGTTTTCAGGTTAACACTCAAAGAAACCAAATCCTGCAAGATTGGATAGCGAATGGGCAGGGCTAGGGGCGTGGCTTAGAGCAATGACTGCTGTGTGAAAGTTCCAGAAGTCCTGACGGCTGGTTTTAAGGCTCAGTGTCTGAATACAGGCTGTGTGCATTTCTCTGTGGACTGAGGCTTTGATACTTTCACAGTATTAATATAGAATCTAGACCTGCTTTATAATCACACTACACATGGACATCTACCTTTAGACTATATGGACCTTTAACTAAATTGGCTACAGTGCACAGAGTGCACACTGCCTGATAGCCTCATTAGTCTAAGTGAATCATAAATAAACATAAAAAGCTTGTATTTACAGCATGACATATTGAAATATGCCAACTCTGATATGTTCACACTCACATGAAAGTACACAGACCATCCTAACACAGACAAGTTACAGTGTAGCCCCCACCATTTCCTTCGGGGAGACTAGTATATTATTCTTTTTATTATAATAAATAAGAAACCAAATAAAAATAAATTAAAATTAAATGAAAAAATGATATATTCAGTGTGAGAGTCTCTACTGTGTTAGGGGGAGTTTATAGCTGCAGTGTTTAACATGCATAATTGGTCATCTCTGTATTTTAGTACAGTTAATACAAACTCACTTCCTGTAACCATTTCAAATTAAAAGCACTCTAACATGTCAGTGGACAGAAACCCTTTTTTTTTTTCTTGACAGGGCTTTTATTCCTTTGGTGCAGTAAGAGCATTGTATCATCTCCAGATGCTCGTTTCTGTTGTTTACATGCTATTCAGATCTGCTCGTTTCTTTAGCTTAGCAGTTAGTGATGACTTCTCTCTCTGCTCGCTGTGTGGTATGTTTAGTTGTTCCTCTACGTCCTTTAGTAATAATGATACATATAATGAAAGTAGTTTATTTACTGTACTGGAGGCCAGGCTCAGAGTATTGGAAGCCATACACCCGTTCACACCTGTACATGGTTGTGGAGATAATTTACTCTTGGCCGAAGTGTTGGACTGATGACTGGTGACTAACATGGCTGACTTCATAGCGAAGAAAACAGAGCAGGTAACTGAATGACAATACTTTGTTTTAATGAATATAAAAAGAAATGTACACAATAGTGATAGTGAACCAGTGAAAACGTTAAGTCCACAAACATGACGCTCTATTCCAGTGTCCCATCAACAATCATCTCCTCAATTAAATATCAATCTCTTGTAAACATATAACATGTGAGGGTTATTCTCTAGAAGCCATTATTGTATAAAGACAGATTTAGACAGATTCCAAACAACTGAGTATAATTTAGAAAGTTAAAATAAAGAGTTTGGCCAAAACTGAAGAAGATCATGACCATTAGCAGGAATACCTTATTTTTTATTAGGAACGTGACCAGAATGAAAAGGGATACTAAACCAAACGATGCTTTCATTTTTTTTCTTATAAGTCAAAATAATAAAAAAAAAAAAAGTCCCACAAAAAGCAAAACACTTGAGGATGATGGCAGCTTCAAGCTGATGATTCTTGCAGCAGCTGGACTTCCTACAGACCACAGTGCACTTATAGCCAGTGGGAACAATCAGTGATGTAACAGCACAAGTTCAAATACAACTCGTCCTTGATTAATAAGCGCTGCTACTAATGGTGTTCGATTGTGCTCTTACAACATCACGAGTACTGTTATCAACTACGACCGACAGTCCTAACCCTCGGGCTGAAGACCTCTTCGAGATGAAGGTCACTACCTGGAACGGCGATCTTTTCTGTTCTTGTCTAGGCTTTTGTCCATGGTCTTTTCGTTGTCCCCTCTGCATTTGGGGCAGTACCACTTGCCCTTGGGCTTGTAGGTCAGGCCCACACAGGAGAAGTGGAACCACTCAATAGGGCACTGGTCGTTGTCACAGCCAATCATCTCGCCATAAGACACCTGCTCACAGAGACAGTAGGTGGGCTCATTGGGGTCGATGGCGAATTCTACCGGCGAGGCGTCCCGTTCCTGTTTGGACTTGCGCTTCTTCTTCTTAGCAGACTTGGACTTCTTTTCCCGGGGAGGAGGGATGGACAGCTCCTCCGAAGCGTCATCCACCATAGACCCGTTGGCCGACGGGTGGCTGGAGTCACGGCTCTCGCTGTTGCGCTGGCGCCGTGGGCGCCGGGTTGAAGTGCGCTCAGGGGCAGGGGGCTCTTGGACACTGGAGCGGCGCTCTGTGGTGAGCCGCTCTGCCTCGCTGGGCTCCTGGAGGCACAGGGAGTGGGAGTCCATTTGGCGGGAGCGGTTCTCCACCAGCTCCGTCATCTGGGTCACCACATGGATCTTCTCGTCACCAAGCTCCTGGCTGATGATGAGCGCCCGCTGCAGCTGGATCTGCAGGCGCTTCCTCTGAGCTGCATCCTGCTCACCTTTGTACTTCTCAAACACTTCATCCACCTCCTTCAGCACCTCTGCAGAGCACAGCACACACAGACACATTAATGGAACTGAGCATCTGGTCATGTCATTATCAGTATGAGCTGCCTTAATAATTCTCACTGCTATTTGTAAAACTGTTGGAAAAAAAAAATTCAAAATTACCATTTAATCTCTTTTCTTTTCTTTTTTTTTTTTTATTAGTGACTTAGCATAACAAAAACAAGTGTGACACAAAGGGTTCATATAATGGACAAACATGTAAATGACAAGAAAAAAAAGTTATTCATTGATATTGAAAATAAAAAAATATGATGTGTATGGTATGTGTAGTTTTTGAGGTTTATATTTGATGTTTTCGTATGTATGACAATGATGATGTTATAATAGTAGTATAGTAATATAATGATAAGGAAAATGTAATAAAAATAAAATAATTTTAAAAAACAAAATATATAATAATAATTTATATGATATCCTGTCAATATGACAAAAACATGAGTAATAATAATAATAAATCTCAGAACAAAAAATATGCTATATGTTACTATAAAATGTAACAAAATAGAAGATAGTATAAAGTAATATGATAATAGTATGGTGGTGTTATGACAATAGTATGTATTATTTATATAATTTAATAATTCTAAACATTTTATTACAATATGTATACATCATTATATTACCATTTTATTTCTAAAATGCATCACTGATTAAATTCCCACAACAATGTCTGAAAAAACTGAAGCATGAGATTTTGAGCTCTGAAGGTGTTTGACTTTTGTGTTTTAAGACTTTAACAAATTGTACATTAGTATTTAAGATACAACACATGAAGTTAAATGAATGAAGGATGTTTGTGATAAGTGTTAGGCTAGTGTAAGGCAACACAAGACTGGCTGATACATTATATCTGAAAAATTAAGCTCTTACTTTTACTTATAATCTGGATTGAATTTCCTCTATTATCACTGAGCACTTTATTAGGAACACCAAACTAACACTGGGTAGTTCCTCAGTCCTTCATGTTGACATGACTTCACCACATCATTTCTGCTGATTTGAAGGCTGCATATTCATGCTGCCAATCTCCTGTTCAACCACATCACAAAGATGGGCTACTGGATTCAGGTGACCGGGCACCCACTGAAGTTCACTGAATTCACTGTCATGTTGATGAGACCAGTTTGAGACAACTTTAGCTTTGTGACATGGAGCATTATCCTGCTGGAAGTAGCCATTAGAGGATGGTGAACTGTTGCCATGAAGGGAAACCATAAACCTGGTACATCTACAACAGCCTGTTGTAGATGTACCTATTGAAAAGTAGCTGTGGTCCCGGCTGTGGGTTGAGGTGTGAGAAGATTTCCCCTATCCCCCACCAGGTGACATCCAGCTGGAACATGATCCTTTCAAACAGCTGCCTCAGGTCACTCTCCATTCAGATCCATGACTCGTGTGTAGATCCTGGACACTGTACAGCAATGTCTACAACTGTATAGGCAGCATCAACACAACCTGTGTGTTGATGGTGTGATTTTGTTTTACTGTTACATCCTCATCTTGTGATGTGCAATATTTTTTTATATGCGTTCCATCTCTGGCACCAATTACAGTGCAGTTATTGATTGGTGGATATATAGGCTTTTCTCTTCTTGCCAAGTAATGAAGCGTTGCCAAACACTTAATTTCCACATTGATCGGGTAGTTTCAGTTGGTAGGAGATGTTATTGCATCCTCACAAAACTCTACAACGATGATTATTCCCTCATGATTGAGTCGTATCTTTTAAGTAATTCAGCATCGTGCAAGGTTTCAAAAACACTGCAGCGTAGAATGACAGCAGCCCTTTATGATTCTTTGTGATTTGGTCTAAGTGAGTTAGGAGTTCTCTCCCCTACTTCTAGCTTCTCTCAGACTTAGGTGCAAATTTTAGCACTAAGTGGCTTTGTGAATTACTCTTAGTTAGAAAAATTAGGAGTGACACGCCCATTATTTTTAGGAGTTTCTCCTAAATTTCAGGGCTACTTTTAGCCTTAAGATGCTTTGTGAAAATGGGCCCAGGTCTTCAACTGTCCTGTTGGCGAGTCTGTGTCTACTGCAGCCTCAAGTTTCTGGTCTTGGTGAGAGGAAGTGGAACCTGACGTGGTCTTCTGTTGTTGTAGTCCATCCCCCTCAAGGTTTTGATGTGAACATGAACTGAAGCTCCTCACCTGTATCTACAGTTTATACTCTGCACAGCTGCTGCCACATGATTGGCTGATTGCTTGAATAAGCCTGTGTACAGGTGTTCCTAATAAAGTGCTCGCTACAAGTTTTCAGCAGACATTTTAAACTTTTTTGCTGAAGTGAAATTGAAGTTGGACATGTTAGAGGCAGGATTGGAGGAGGGCTGAGCCGCAGTGAGCTCCTGCCCACAGGAAATGACGCCAGTTGAAGGGGGTTGCCTTGACTAGGAGCTATCCGGCTCTGCGGTTCAAGCTCGACGGAGCAGTAGTGGGGCAGACGTCGTACTAGCTCCTCAAGATGTGTAATCTGTTTTAAAAATAATCTAAAGCGAATGCGTATGAACTCAGTTGATGTGTGTCTTTATCTACCGATGGTGTCGTTGAACTTCTTGGGAGCGGAGGCAGCTTTACGCCGCAGCTCAACCTGCGTCAACATAAAACAATGAGAATTGTTTTTCCTGTACTAGAGGCTTTTGTTAACAATACTAACTACCTTAACTTTGGCCCCAGAGTCATAAATAACTGTCATCAGCTAAATACTGATCCCATTTCACAAACAGCAGTGCGAAAATTAACATTTAACCAGCGCTCTTTCGTATGCAGAATGTCACACCAGCTTACGTTAAGAGAACAGCAATTTCTCCCGACCATGGTCACTGGGCAAACGTTCATACATCAATTAACACTTACACCATCTTCGACACATCTTTATTATACATTGTGGGCTTCGGCATACGTTTAATGCATAAGGCAGCATTTATTTCAAATAAATGACTAAGTTTATTCATTGTTTTCCCTGGTATTCGCACAATAATCATCCGTGGAAACACCGCGGTGGGCGGCAGTGTGTAGTGTGTACCTATTGAAAAAGTTGAGATTTTATTATTACACCGTGCTAGTTTTTGGATTATATTAACGCCGAATTTGTCATTGGACACCAAATATTCGCTTACAGATGTGTATCGGTTCATAATGTGTGTGTACGTTTACCGAGAGAGAGAAATAATAAATTTCTAAATTTTCTCAATGAGTTTGGTGTCACACACAAAACAGGACGGAGTGTATCTGGGCTATGCTAACTGTCGCTTGGCTTGCTTGTTAATTCAACATTTGGCTCGTCGTTATAATTCTTCACATTTTAGCTGGTCACGTTACTGTTTATCTGAGTGGACATGAACAAGGGGCGCTCGGTTTTTGCAAAATGGGAACACAAGCCTCGCGCCTGCTCCACCATTTCAGCCCATCCTCTCACACCGCCGTCAATGTTTCCACTTTTACACACGCACTTGTAATTAATGATAAAAAGGTATAACACATTACCTTGATACTTTGCATCAATTTCTCGAAGCAGGGAAACATTTCTTTGTATGTCCAAAGGTAGGGACTCCACACATTCCAGATAATCCTCCACATAGTTCACCAGTTGTTGCGACTTGTCGGCATTTGGATAGTGATGGCCTAACATCGTCTCTACGATGCATAGAGGCACTAAAAGAATATGGAGGAAATGTGGAAAATATACAGTTAAAATCAAATGCTTGGCGACTTTGCAGCTTGTAGGGCAGTTCCAGTTCACTTCAAACAAAACTCAAGCTACTGCGCATGCGGGAGTATTTTCCTTTTATGGTAATGTACAGTTTCCTCTCATTTGTCGTCATGGAAGGCGGGGCCAGATGGATTTGCAGCATCGGGATTGGCAGAGAGTGGCCTCATTATCATAGCATTTTCCCGGGAAATTAAACCAAAGGGGAAACTGAAACACAGTGCTCCCATAGTTTAGAAGGAGACTAAGTGTGACCTTGTTTCATATTAGAGCAGAGCAGCAGCAAGATTAAAGGCACAATTAGTAATTTTTGACCATATGAATGTGAAGTTTATTCACATATATTTTTTCTTTTTTTCTTTCTTTGTTTATTCACATGCATCATGACGACTGAATGAAATTATATAAATCAGCATGTTTGTGTTTTGTGGCCAGTCAAAATTCAAAATATAAACCTGTTTTACTGTAATGTTTACATATGTTATTAATGTACACAGACATTTAACATCCAAAAATAATAATTTAGAGGCCCTGTTAGGAGTCTTTGAATTGTTTTGTGGTGTTGCTGTCATTTTGTCTACATTATCTACAACAAGAATTAGGCCTTAAAGTACAAATATAAGATCACTAAATTCTCCTTATGTCTTAAGGAATATTCAAGCAATTTTGTATGGCAGAGGCTGAGATAATGCAAACTTTAGTCCCTAAGTGGGTCAAGCTCCAAAAAGCCTTCTCATAATGCAACTACTTTCGTTAGACACTCTCAAACCGAGTTAATCATAAGACCCCTGACGATGTCATCAAAGGCTGTTTACTTTCTCAGATTGTGGAATATTCTAAAATTTATACAATATTGTTAACCCCCTGATTTTACTAGAGAAATTTCATATTCATAAGGTGGAATTTCTTAAATCAAGTCCGTCAGGTTGTTTCTAATTGATATTTACTTTGAGCCTCTTAAATTTGTAACAAACAAGAAGTTTGTCTGTCACTTAAATTATACATTTGTTCCTTTTTTCTTAATTCATGTATTTGTTTATTTATTTATTTATTTTTTCTAATTTTTTGTTGAATTTTTATGTGTTTCTTTTATTTGAGAACTGGTATGTCTGATTGTTTGTAAATTTTCCAATTTAAATGATTGAAAGAAGCATTGAAAAAAAAGACTGTAAATCATTCTAGTAAAGACTAGTAAATTGACTGACACGTAAACGGTAAATGGTGAAGTGCCCTTTTAAAGTTGATGCACAGTACATTCATATTCAGCGTGGCTGCTGAGATGAGTTTGACTTTGTTCTGATAATTAATCAAATTCACATAGGACTACTACAAATAATAATAATGTTAATTTTCATGGTTCCACTTCAGTAAGTTGAGGTTGTTCTAATTTAAGCTTTTGTGAAGAACAATAAGACAAAACTAACCAGGAGCAGAAGCGATGGGACACGTGTTTGGGTTCAAAGCATTTGTAAAGCATCTGCTACATACTGAGTCACAGGGCTGAGGTAAGCACAGGCCTGAATATGACAATACACAGGTTCCTCCTCGAGGCTGCACAAGTGAACCACCTGTTTTATGTGTGTGTGTGCGTGTGGGGTGTGTGTGTGTGTGTGTGTGAGAGAGAGAGGGAGAAAGAGAGTTTGTGTTCTTGTTTCCTCTTTCTGTGTCACATGAAGTCAGGCAATCTTTTAACATACTAACAGCTACATTAAATCTAATATCACTACAACTACATGGACCTGTTTACTGTGAGTACCACTGCTACATCCCCTGCACTTCCTGTGCTACTCCTGTTACTGCAACCACTGAGACTACTGTTACATCTCTGACACTGCTGTGACTAATACTACCACTTCTATTACAAGTAGTGACTATTACTACTTCTAGTACTATAGCCAATGCTATTACTACTACGACCACTGCTAATACAACTTGTACCTCTGCTTAACTCTATTACCTCTACCATTAGAATTATTACAAGCACTATATAACTATATACTTCTACTGCAACTACATTTACTTCCACCACTCCTACTATTATTCCCAGTGCTATATACCACTACTATTACTATATTTTATTACATTTAATATTATTATAACAATATTACCACTGAATAGTGTTTCTACTACTACTGAAAACACTTCTACTGCTATTACCTTTATTGTTATGATTAGAAAAACGACTAATTAAATTATTAGTACTGCTACTGTTATTGTAACTACTAATGCTACTACAACTGCTGCATTACTACTACTATTTCTCAGTACTATACTGCTGCTACCACCACCACTAGTAGTACTATTATAACAAAACTGTAACTACTACTGTCGCTATAACTACTACTACTAATATTATGACTACTATTATACTACTGTTATAGTAGTGCATGATTACAACTACCGGCACTACTACAATTAATACCATTGTAACTATTACATTACTACTAGTATAAATACAACTGCTATAACTATTGCTATCACAACTTTGACTGTTCTACTATTACTACCGCTATTACACTACTACTAGTAGTATTGTTACAAGTACAACCAGAATTAACCTCCTGAGGGGCCCCTGGGCAGAAAAGTGGTGTCGGGCCTCTGCTGACACCCTCTATACGTGACAGAGTAACTTTAATTTACAATTCTGATAACTGATTGATTGCTGAAGTCATTTCTAAGTAAAACTGTACTGGTACCAGCTTCTCAGATGTGAGTATTTGCTGGTTTGCCAGTTCTCTATAACAGGAAACTCTGAAAGCCATTATGGACAACCCCTCTCCTCCCCTGCTGAACTGAGGCAGCTCAGGAACACGTTCAGCCACAGACTCTTCCAGCAACATGCCTCAAAGCTGCACACCGCCACAGCACCCACAGTCTAAGACTCAAATCTATAGATCTCAGGAAAACTGATATGCACATTTTGTATATTACAATAGAATTGGGACAAACTACACAACACTTAATAATTCATTTTTTTTATGTTGTATATAATATTTCTATTTTATCTTATCTTTCAGATTCTGTTTCTATTCTTATTTTATTTCTTATTACATTTTCCCCTTGTGCTGCTATTCTTGGTTCCAGGGAGCTATCCATTTTCTGACATTTTATACACTGAGCAATCAATCAATGATCACGGTTTTGTCAGATGTATTGATAATGAAAGTAATCGTTGGTTGGAGCCTCACAGTTCTCCTAAAATAAAATAATATTAATTGAAACACTGAAGGACACTGACCCTGCAGGTTCTCTCTACATCACCAGGGCTACAAGATGGAGAATGGTCATGTTCTACTTCAGTGGTCAACATTTATAACAAGTTTGCGGTCAATTAAATTATGCAGATGTAAATTAAGCCTGGGGCTTTTAGGACCCTTGGGCCCGCTTTGCACAGTTAGTAATCCAGCCTTGATAAAACTGCCTCAAGCCTGGTACTGGTGCTATTAGTGCTGTGATGTCTGATAGTGACGGCAGGAGTTTGTGTTCCCAGTGCATTCGGTGCAGCCTGAAGTAAAATAAAGTAAGATATGTTTAGTTGGCAGTTGCCGTGTGGACATGATAAATCACTGAATCACGCGGTTAAAACACATGAACTGACTGGTCTGTGAGAGAGTCCGGAGTTTCACTGCACAGGAACATGTGACCTTTGCCTCCACTTTTAGCAGTTTTAGGCAACCCTCCCCCTGACTGCTGTCACATTGGTTTCGTTTCCTGAGTATTGATATTAGTTGGCAAGTTTGAAAGAATCATTAGCGCTTAAGAATTAAAAGTACCACTTCCGGTTTGTATTTTCAAATTACAATCGCCACAGCATCCAACAGTGCCCCTTAAAATATACCACTCCGGCATAACACAGTATTCCAGATTAGTGGGGAGTAGTCATACGTAAAGGAATTACGTTAATTAGATTACAGAATAAATGCAATTGTAATCTGTTACAGGGAAAAATGTAATTTAATTACAGTTACTAAACAAAATGTTGGTGATTAAAGAGGTTACATCTGAATATATTCTTTTCTGTAAAAAGCTTGTGTTTTCATTCAATATGAATTTGGAGAGGTTATAGGTTGTAAACTTCCTACAGGGCTCCAGCAGACTAAATTAATGCTACTGAAAAGTAATCAAGTTCATTCAAAAAAAGACATATTATATTCAACATATTATAAAGATGTATTTACCAATTAAGTAATGTCTAATTTGTAGTGAACAAATTTGCACGTTAATTAAAACAAACTGAGGGGTACTTGTAATGATATTTTGTAAATTTAAGGGGGGATTATGCCACCACCTTAATTAATCAGAAAACTCATTAATTTGTACATGAAAATATTTCATGTCCCAAATATAAAACAAAATCCCAAATGATCATAATGATTTCTCAAAATAAAACATTAAATATGATTCATTCATATATCAAACAAATATAGATAATACTATAGAACACTATAGAAATAACCTTTTATCTAATATTTTAGGCTATTTAAAAAGATATTCAGATATTTTCACTTTGCACTGTCAACAGTACCTTATATTTGTTGTTGATTTCTTTGATCATTATACATGCTTTTATTTATTTATTTATTTATTTCTTATTCAAGGTCTTTTTATTGGTTTTGTTTAAAGTCATAGAGGATGTAATAAATCACTGACACAGTTGAAGAAAGACAATGTGTCCCCTCCCCCTTTGATCTGTTTTAACATCCCTATTATAGTGTTACTGTATCATGTTTGTAATCAGACAACTGATTACATATACAAACAGACAAATTCAATGTGACAAAAAATATAGGTAAGACAAAAAAAAACATAAGCAAAAGGAATAGAATTAAATTAAACAACACAATAAATAGAAAAAACAGAGATTAATAAAAATAAGTTAAAGAATTACAAATAGATAGTTAAATAACAATATATAATACGGGGTCAGTTTTAAAGAAATGTACTTATCAGTACCTATTAGTAGCGTCCATTTTTCCGAAATTAGTTAAAAAAAAAAAAAAGGTTGCCATATAGCATGGGATTTCTGAGCACACAGAATAATTTTTTTTTCCAACGTCAAAAAGGTCTTAAATCCGTAGTCCAAAAACTGATAGAAATTTATCCTTCCATTTACATGCTTTTATTTTTAAATCAATGACTTCCGGTTCTGTTCTATGTGCCTGTGTGAACTTGACGCGGCTGTTTATTTAGCAGAGACGCAGAGGTGTTGTTCCACATTGAGCGAGTGTCAAGAGAAGTGCAGCGGCAAGAGGTTCCGTCAGTCAGCACCTGTCACCATGAAGACGGCTGTTGTGTTCATTGTTGTCTGCTGCGCAGTCTCAGGTGAGGCTGAACCAAACACATTCTAATATAGAGTTTAGTAGGCTACATGACAGAATTAGTTTGTAGAAAACATTAATACGTTTTTATAACACAACAGAATTTTGTTGTTTCCTACAGGATCTTCTTAATAATTTCACGCAGCTTTTATGTTGGAGTGTTGCCGCTGTTTTTACTGTGGTTATCAGAAAGTCTGTGTGTGTTTATTGATTGGGTGAATAAATGAGACATGGCATGTTTTTATCGGACCTCAGTGTGACTTCCTGGATTGTTTAGGGAACAGAAATTTCCGCAGTCTTTCGATAGTGTCTGAGTCACATGTCTGCTGGCAGAGGAGCGCTGTTTTTTTTAGCGGATGGGGTGAATCTGCAACTTGTGTTGAAACCGGAACTCACTGTTTAAAACAGCAGTTAAGTTAGATTAATGACTCTGCAATGATGATGATAAATCTTATGGTCTTTAAAAGAACTATACTTTTCAAGAAATATTCGTATTTACTTACTCCTGACAACTAGTTGAAGGCCGTAGTTTGTATTTACTCTTTTATTACAGCTTAAAGCCCCATATCCATCTATCTGGCTCAAAATGAGCATAGTCAGTAACCTAACTCATTTTAAAGTCAGCCATCTGTGTGTCCAAGCCCTAAAAGGGAACATTATACCACTGCCGGAACCTGCAGATAAGCTGTGCACTGAAAACACATCATAAAGTGTCATAAATGTGACTTGTGTAAAAGACGTGTACTTAGATAAATATGGCGGTCAGCTGATGTCAATGTGAAAAACAGTAAAGCTATTAAACTATGTCAGAATGCTTATTTTAATTTTAATGATGTTGTTTTAATGTAATGTAAAAATTACGTGTGTCATATGAAAGGGTTCGCTTGTATTGATGAACCCCCAGATAATTGTCATCCAACTCTGCAGATAATGAAATAAATCAGGCCCATACCTGGGTCACATGCGTCTTTTCTTCTGGCCCAGTATACGCCCGGTTCCACGGCATAAATCTGGCCCATATATGGCAGGAATTATGGGTTTAACAGCCCATAAATTATATCATCAGCTATGGTTTCAGCAGCAGCACGCAGCTGTTTTCTACAAGAAAGCTTTACTTCATCCATCGTACACTCCAGCAGACAGTCAAGGTCTGTGACCTGTTGGTGAAGAACATCTAGCGGCCAGAGAAACTAGGGCTTTTCCCATTAGTTGGTGGGCCAAAACAAGATGTCAGATGTTGGGTTTTCAGGTTGTTCCACTGCCAGCAAGTTGCCAAAACAATAAATGAATGTGGCTTAAATAGAGGATAATGAAGTTGGGAGGTGGTTTATACATTTTTATTGAAATGGATTTGTTTCTCTCTCTGTCTTTTTGACTGAAGCGCTGTCATCAGCTGAAGACAAGAAGAAATCCAAACCTTCTGCATCTGTGTCCCCTGCGGAGCAGTTTGGCAGCTCGGAAGGCCCCAAGCCTACAACTGCCACCCCCAAGCCTACAACAACCACCCCCAAGCCTACAACAACCACCCCCAAGCCTACAACCACCACCCCTAAGCCTACAACCACTACGCCCAAGCCTACAACCACTACCCCCAAGCCTACAACCATACCTGTTCCAGAACCCACCCCACCCACCAACTTGACTGTAGGAAACTACAGTCTAGTGACTGACAAAAAAGTGGTTTGCCTGATGGCCCACATGGCGCTGCAGATCCGATTGGAATCAGCAAAGGTACATTTCATTAGTCATAGAAACAACAAGAGCCCTGGCAAAGGTAGTCCAAAGGTCCAGCAACTTCTCTGAGCAGATTCTAATCTTAAAATTTCTGGATTTTATTAAGCCATTGTGTTAGTCATCAAAATGGATAGAACTTTCTGCACGAGTCTCTGACTCAAATTTCGTCAATGCGAATGTCAGCATCCTATTTTCAGGAATTGAGAAAATCTTTTCACACGAGTTTTAATTTCCTCATTGTTGTGGGCTTGACGAATGCAGAAGGTTAAATGTGTGTCATCTTTGTGTCATAAGACACAATAATCCTATGTGACATGTTGTTTACTCTAAAGAAACTTTGTAACTGCCACAGTACCTTCTAGAACATTGTAATACAAGATGGCTTCATTTCTCTGTTTATGTTTCAGGCCAATGGAACCTTTATTGTTCAGCCAACAAAGACCAAGACTATAGGAAGTTGTGGGGAAACCAAGGCGAACCTGACCCTTGTCTTCAAAGAGGGCTTTATCACCTTCATGTTCAACAAGGTATGTTTGATTTCCCTGATTTGTCACAAATTTGACAATGTCAAATGCTGTTAATGGGGGAGGTATCTAGTCCTTGTTTTTCCAAAACCTTCATCTTTGACGTTGGCACACTGATTTGGAATTTAAATTTGAAGTGTCAAGCAATTAAACAGTACAACATTAACAGAATTCACCCTGGTAATGTCATGTGGTGTTAGTGTTAAAAAGGGGAACTATAGTTGACAGGCCTGTTCTAAGAGCATGTGACAAGGAAACTGTATCACACCGCTACTGTCTGCAATGCCTGTGCGATTCATTAAGTGGTTTTCTAAGTGACACTTGAGATGAGCAGGTGAAAGGTGTTTGGTGAAGCATAACATCAATGTATCATTGTCAAACTAACTACCCAACCCAACCCAGGTATAAATGCATAAACAAACACAGCCATTTAATGTGCAAAATGTCAAGCAATTGTGTGGAATTCTGTGAGGTGATGTTTTCACGTCTTGATGTGTCCAACCAACTGTCTAAAAGTTATTCAGTTTACTTATTACTGTGATTAAATCAGAAAACCATGACAACAGAAGAGCAGGCACTAACGAATAATTGGCATTTTTGCTTGAAAAGATAAATGATATCAAAATAGTTGTTGATTCATTTTCTGTGCGCTAGGTGTCCAAAACAAATCAGTAAGGATTAATAGTCCAGACAGACCAACTGGGTCTCTTTTGATAAGCAACCTCGGATTTTAGCTGTAAAGAGACATCACACCAAGGTCAGAGTGTTGCTTTCATTTTCATCTCTGAAATAATGAAGGGTGTTCCTGCTTCCTGTTGTCCATATAAGATCAATTACCTACGTCAGCATTTCTTGCCATCAGAATTCAAGCTCTTTGTGATTTTAACATCAAAGAATGATACATTTGTTAGCATAAAAAATTAATTTAAATAGAGATATTGAATATAAGACAATAACAAAATTCAATGCTTATTGAAAATGTACCATACTTATCTATATATGCATATATATGTTCATCATATGAAATTCCAATGTGATTTTCTGTAACAGAACCTAGAGGTTTTGGTTTCGCTTTCTTTTATTTTACTGGAAATACTCACCACTGTTAGGTTTAGCTTAAAGTAGAAAAATTATAAATAACACAATAGGTAAAAATATTTATTTAAAGAACTACTAAAAGGTTTATCAGATATCTAACATATTTACAGCTAAATAAAGGTGTTAAAGATATAGAACATTGAAGATTAGTTTAATTTTTACTCTGGGTATTTTATCAACAAACGTAGTTTCTTTGTGGCACAGAAAAGTTCAAACACTCAGTAGCTTGAAAAGCATCAACCCAGTCCAACTGAAAACTAGGTTAGCTACTTAACTAGCTAGCTGACTAGCTTAGTCTTTACCGCAGCAGCATGGGTTTGAGTCTAGCCTGTAGCCCTTTGCTGCATGTCTCTCTCTCTCTACTCAGCTTTCCTGTCTCTCCCACTGTCAATATAATAAAAAAAAAGGCAAAAGTCAGAAAAAATGACTTCAAAAAAACCATCTAGCTAACTAACTAGCTAGATATTAGAAAGCTAGAACCATGTAGAGGGTTCATGGGCTGCTACTGCAGAAAAGCTACATGAATATTAACATGTAATTATATGTTTGAAAACAAAACAAGAACAGCATATCATTAAAATAATTCAGGAACAAAGCAGGGTGTGGTACACAACTGAAAGAGTTTATCAGTCTGCTATTCAATTTGCTACAAATGCCCCCTTCAATACACATCACTGCCGTCTGTATTATCTGGTCCAATGGCCCTCTTTGCATACTTGTCATAACATATACTGGTCGACACTCATCTATAAAACTCTTCTTGGATACTCACCCCTCTATTTAAGTCAGTTATTGCAGCCAAACACAATACAAGGTCTTTTTACATCAGATTAAAAGCCCCTAAATACAACACATCTTTTTGGCCTGTTCCAGTCTGCTGCTGCTGATGATGATGGGAATTTGTTACAAAAAACACCAAAATTGGATTAATGTATCTCTCTCACTGCCTTTGCAGGCCTTCTTTTAGATTTTTTTAAGGATGCCTATCTATATCCTATATCTTAATCTACAGGACTAATAACAAAGCAGTGATATGCTGGTTGAATGTTAGTTGAAGCTTTGAGGACAATAGAGTCTGATAACATCCTCAATCATGTTTGAGTTTGTTCATTGAAATTAAAACCGATATCTCACACATAGTTACAGTAAGGATTTAGCACCATGACTACCCAGTATGGAGCCTTTGTGAAAACCTGTCCTGTTGTCTTATGTCTCCTCAGAGCGTCGCTAATGATTCTGCCTACGTTGATACTCTGTCTTTCAATTTCTCCTACGCCTTCACCAAGGGAGGTGAGTTGAGAATACTCCTGTTTTAATACAGCCTCTACACATCATTTATTGCCATTAAACTTTAGACTGTTAGAACTGGGTCACTGTCAGTTCAGTTTAAGGTCAGTGTTGTGCAACACTGGCAAATGTTAGCACAAACAAGAAGCATTAAAGCTTTAACAACTTCCTTGTTTGTGCGTGTCTGTTCAGTTGTGTATAGATCTTTGGATCTACTGCTAAACATGTGATGTTGGTAACAACCAACCTACGTTAAATACAATCCAGTCTAACCAGTTTGGTTCCATATCTGATCTGGTCAGCGTTTGTATTAGCGTTTGTGTTTATAACAGTCATCATCATCATGTCCTAAAATAATCCCAGCATTGTTTTTAATGACTATTGCAGCTCTCAAGAGTTATCCTGCCAACAACAAGTCAATGCATCTCTTTGCTGCCAAGATCGGACACTCCTACTCCTGCAAGGGTGAATCTCTTTACATGGGGAATGGACTGTACCTGGATGTCAATCAAGACAGGATGCAGGCCTTCAATCTGACCAAGAGCGGTGACTTTGGCTCGCGTAAGTGTCTTCATGAAGAAAGAGAGAGTGCCTCTATTCAATGCATTAATCTTAGATCCATTAATGAAAGTAATGAGTCCTCCTTATATAATGTTATGCAATACCACAATGGAAAAGTATTCCAAGTCCCGCATTCAGTAACAGCACACAGGTATTATCAACAAGATGTATTTAAAGTATTAAACATTAAAGTACACATTATACAGAATGGCCACAAGTAACAGTAATATAACAATATTACATGTATTGTGTATTTTCAAGGACAGTAGCATAAAGTAATTGTATTGTAATTATAATTGTAAAAAAGGACAATATATTGTATATAGTGGAGGAGAAGTGTAAAATAACAAATAGAAATACTCCATTAAGAACAATATTCCTCACTGATGTCACTGTGCAACATATTGTTGTAATATCTATTAAAAAATTAGTTCCACCCAACCAGCTCAACATGACTATAGGACCATTCTGCTGCATTACAAGTAGTTCAATTTTACAAATTAGATTGTGGTAATATAAAAGATTTGAACAACTCCTTCCATGACTCATTGTCCGTATCATCACTTATCTTTAGAACCCATTACATTGTATTTGGTCTGTATGAGTATTGACCAACTGTAGTTGGTCATAAGATTTGACAGACGCAGAGAGTGGTGGTTTCAGTAGAACAGCTTTGTTCGGTTGGATCAAATATGCAAAGAAATCTCTGATATTAATTAACAATTATTAATACATTATTCTAAAGAGGTCAGTAATCACAGTCCAGTCACACAGGTGTCAGCTGTGTAACACAGTTGTGCAGTTTACTAATGCACTCTGCAGCATTTATCGTGAGCCACCTGCTGCCAGGAAGAGCTGGTTTAACTACTCTCTAACTGAACCTGCAGCCCGTCACTGTTTACATTAGCAAACAAAAAAACCCTTGTGACGGTTAAATGCAGAGCTCTTCACAGCACGTATTTTATTAGGCAACATATAAAACGACCACAAAATTATGGATCTTTATGTTGCACATAGGAGGATCTCTACTCTTGTTGCACAATTTGTTGGCGCAACAATTTGTATAATAAAAATAAATAAATAATAAAAATGTAATTATTTATTAAATTAAAATAAAATGATTTAAGTGCTTTAAATTTCATATTCTATGTGGGTTTGTATGTTTGACAAATAAAAATAATTTTTTGAAATTTTCAAATTCATAATTACTACCAAAATATATTTTTTTAAAATGGAAATTCCATGGACAAGTCATTTTCTGTATAGCACTGCTGTAATGATAATGATAATGTATAAAATAGGCTTATTATTTTAAAATGGTCAGATAATGTGTAACTAACTTAAAAATGGAAAATTGTGAACTGAATTGCAAAATATGCATTTTTAAACATGAAAATGAAAGTTAAATCTATGTTTGATCAGATTATTTCATTTTGATATCAGTAGTCTCACACTTCCATACATACAGCAGTAAATGAACCTGTGCTTGGCGAAATGACACCTTTCAAATGGCACTATTGATTAATGACTTCATTGATTTACCGATATTTGACATTATCGGGTTTTATTATTATTTATATATGTTGTGTTGTGTGTTTTCCAGCTGACGTCTGTCCTGCTGACAAGCCCAATTACAGTGTCGCCATCGGGGTGGGTGTGACACTGCTGGTGCTCATTGTGATCGTGGTGGTGGCCTACCTGCTGAGCCGCAAGAGGAGGAGTGATGGGTACCAGACTCTGTGAGGTGGGCCGGGCAGAGGGCCATAAGAGGTCACCCAGAGGTGACTCCCGTTAGAAACCCAAGTCAGTGAGGCGGTGAGGCTCTTTCTCAGGGGCTGGGGAGCACTTCCACCGAGGCCTAACCATTCCTGCCACTTTATAGTGCTTTAATGTAATCAATAAATTAATTTAAAAAGCTGTTATAAATTGATTAAATTTAAATGTTGTATTGATAAGTTCAAAGTAAAAATAATATCATTAAATTTAAATTCTTCTATTCTGACTCACAAAATACATCTTGAAAAGACATTTAATTTTAACTTTTTTTGATTCCATTTACTTATTTCATTGTCTCTAAATTTTAATTTTGCAGTTGATTAATTTTCTGCTGTAACATTCACAGTTGTGATCGATTTCATGAGCTGTTTAAGCAGCGTGTCAAAGTCCGGCCCACAGAGCAGCAGATGGAGCGCTGACATAACCTGGCCTTGGACTTTAGATATAACTTTCAGTTGACACACTGCTTTAGACTGGATTAAAACTCTAAAACACAAAACGAATTAATTGAAGTTTAAGCAAATGGAATAACAAAAAGTAAAATTTAAAAACTGTACATTTAATTTGTAGTTTTATTAAAAATCAATTATTAATTCACTATTTAGAGAGACAACAATGAAACAGCATTAGTAATTGTAAAATTTAAATATTTATATGTTTTTACTTTGAATTTAATAATCTATCATTTTAATACAAATTTGATTAATCAATAGCTCTTGTATTATTATTCCAGTGGCACACTGCTGACTCCATACATATAGTTTTTAAAAGCCAATATAAAACAACATTTTTTTTAAACTTTAGCCCATTTTTATATGATATTTTTTATGCCAGAAGATTACACAAAGTCACTGGAATTTGACACCAGAATATTTTTCCCATCATCCTTTGACAGAGTGTTTCCATATTTGGACACTAAATATGATGATACTAACAATGACATGTCTATACAAACTGACATCACACGTGTGTAAAACTGACCACAGTGCTTCATCATAATCAGTAAGGTTATGTTTTTACATTAGACAGCCAGTGTATTAAAGGGTCAGTATTGTGATGATGTAAGTTTATATTCAATTTCTTACAAGAGGCTAGTATTGGTTTCTTATATCAGTCTAACCCACATTACTATCTCACTGAGCAGTGGAAGTGAAATATACATATATATATTTATACATATATATAGATAGATATACAGCTTGTTTTGACAAATACAGTTTAAATTCTGCATCTATGTGTGAGCATTATGTGTCAAATGTTTTGTTCTTCTTCTGCTGTTTTTTTTTAAGAATCAAATGTTGTGTGTTCTGTCGTCCAGGGATTTTATTATTGAAAAGAAGGGAATTTATCCAATTACTAACTTTACAGGTGATTATAATGTGTTTGCATTATTAATCAGCACAAAAGGGATATTTACACAGATGTTTGTAAGGGATTAGTTCTACCTTATCAACATTAATTGCACTGATTGTTGTTCCAGCTTATTATTACTTTTGCTCGTTGAATACTATATGTAGCTGATGCTGTGTTTTCATAGAAATGCAAGGATGGACAATCCAGGCATGAACCAGATTAGATTTTTAATAGGTCATACATTCATCACATCTCAGGAGTCCATCTCTCCTCCCCCCACCAAGTCCACTTCACTGCCCTGAAGGTATACTTTGGCATTTGGGAAATATGTTTATTCGCTCTGCAGCTGTTTCCCCTTGTTGTCAATCTTTATGCTAAGCTAAGCTAACCGCTCCTCGCTCTAGCTTCATATATGATGCACAGTTATGAGACTTGTATCGATCTTCTCATCTCACTCTCAACAAGGAAGCAAACCAGCTGTTTCCCAAAATGTCGAACTGTTCCTTTGAACATGCAAAACTGACAACCAAAGATTGTGTTGTGCATTCATTGAAACTGAGTGGGCATAACAAAAAAAAAAAAAAAAAAAAAAAAAAAAAAAGCATGTTGAGTAAACAATCTCACAACAGTGTTCATTTAGTAGCTGTTGATCATAACGCATGACCTTCATCAACCTACGGTGGCCCTGAGAGCTCAACACACTGCAGCTTAAGAAAACACGTGCAAACAGACAAAAACACAAACAACTTCAAAAAACATCTTCATCAGTTTGACAATACATGTGCTGCAGATACACACAACACAACTATACACACAAACACTGCAAATACTCCCAACACAACGGAAGTGTTTCCAGGGGACACGAAAAAGAGATGAACCTGGCTGTGACGCGCTTGCATGGACGTGACACGTCCATGCAAGCGCGTCCCAGCCAGGTTCATCACTTTTTTTGTGTCCCCTGGAAACGCTCACACCATTGTGTTGTGATTATTTGCAGCACGTTTGTGTGTTTTATTGTGTTGTGTGTATCTGCAGCTCATGTGTTGTCAAACGGATGAATTCATTTTCTGAATTTGTTTGTGTTTTTGTCTGTTTGCGCGTGTTTTCTTAAGTTGCAGTGTGTTGAGCTGCTGATGAAAATAAAGTTTGATTGAAAGGTCTGGAACAGTTACTAAACAAACCCTGTGATGAGATTGTTTTCTCAAATGTTGTGTTTCCAATCCTCAAATATGTTATGCTGCGTTCAAGTACCTGACAAAAATGGTGGAATTGCAACTTTAGCACACAAGTACAATTAACGAAATGAATATTGAGTTAAAGGGTCAGTTCACCCAAATCACTGACAGACTTACTGTTTCTCTCACCTCTGGTGGCATCGAGCTGTGCAGGTGGTTTCAGTTTTCTGTGCTCAGGTTGTGAGATGTCAGCTTTTGAATCTTCTGCCTTCCACTTTAATACAATGCAGGTGAATGAAACGTTGTTTGTGCTCCTCAGAGCACTGAAAAATGTAATCTAAAAATCACAAACACTATCTTGTATTTCCAGAAACCACGTCCCGGTTACTGAGTATGATGCACAGATGTAGCTGGCAACAGTTTTTATAGGGACTACTTTATCCAACAGAAAGTAGTTCTGGTGAAAACTGTTGTCAGGCATGTCTTTGGATTATCTGAGTAACCAGGACATGGTTTCTGGAGAAATAAGATGGTGAAGAGTTTTTCAAATGTCATTTTTCAGTGATGTGAGCATCACAGTTACATTTCCACTCTTCTGCATTGTGTTGGTGTGGAAGCTGAAATCTCAGAGGCTGAGATCTCAAAATCTGGACAAATGAAACCAAACCCATCTGCAGAGTTAGACACCATAAGAGTGACATGAAAATGTTTTTGATTTGTGTGAACTGGCTCTTTAAGCCGTACCTTCACTAAATACTCAGTGTTCTGGTGTTAATGTAATAAACAGTGGCGTGGTGGGTGGAGTAGACTGTGGAAGTGATTGACTGGAATCAGTCACTAACTGTGTACATGTGTCAGCATCTGCAGTAGTTTTGAAGAGTAAGGTAGCTGTAGTTCGATTCACTTGTTGAGCTGCTGCTCTCAGCTGCAGTTCCAGATTTAGTCCACCAGGTGATGCTGTGAAGTCAGGGAGGGAAAAGAGATGAGGGACCTATACACAGTGTGTGAGCACTTTTACCTGTTGTTAACTTCCTGTGCCAATAAAGATTGATATATTCTTAAGTGTGTGTGTTTGTGTGCGTGTGTGTGTGTCTTTGATCTGCAGCTTTCGCCTCAGACAGTTTTACAAATTAAACAACCATAGGTACATTTCTCCACCTGCTCTACATTGAATGTTTGTAACACTTAAATGAAGCCATTCTGCACAGTAGCCTTAATTTAATAGGTACACATACAGTATTATACAATAACTATAGTTACTCCCCAAAGAAAATCACATTGTGAAGATCTACCATTCCCTTCCCCTATAGGACTGAAACTGCCAAAGTCAAAAATAAATAAATGACTCAAGAAATCTATAATTATGCCATGAAATGCAAAAAATGTTAAAATAAATACAGCAATAAAATGTGACATAAAGAGATATTTCTGATTTGTATTAGTTCCACTATATATTTACTTTCCCATTTAAATTTCCATTTTATTAATTTATTCTTTACTTCTTTATTATTTGTTTATCTATCCGTTTATTTTACCTATTTATTTCCCACAAACATATTTATTTCTGTATTTTCTTTTTACATTTCTTTATACATTTCTGCTTTGATATACAAATGAGGGGCTGTCATTCAAAGTGGGACAAAATACATTAACATAATAACCAAACCAAATTGGTTTCAGCTCTTTAAACCTATTTCTTTCTGATGAAATAATAAAATGCTAAAAGAGATGAGAGACGTTTGGAAGTGAGTAAAACCAGAAATAAAGTAGAAATAAAATAAATTACCAGAAATAAAGTAGGTTTATTAAAAGGTAAACAATCCAGAAAGTAATCATAGAATAAAAGAACATACCAGTCAAACAGCTCAACTATATAAATAAATAGAAAGATGAATAAATCAAATTTAATTAAAAGCCAGAATAAAAAGGTAGGTCTGGAGTTTGCTTTTTAAAATATTAACACTTCCTGCTGCCCTCAGGTCTTTTTATTTATTCATTTATTTTAATTTCTTTACTTATAAAATTCCACATAAAAAAACAGGACAAATTACCACAACAGTAGCTCAGTTCAAAAACATATAGAGGTCAATTACATAAGCCTTGAAAAAAGAAAATAATAAAAACATAAATACAATAGTAGTATATTGGATAAATTAAATAAAACAATAAGAAAAATAAAGAAAAATGCCAGGGATTGAGATAAACAAATAGAAAGAGACTTGAAAACATTAAAATGGGAGCAAAATTTCATAGTTTTAATAAATCTTTTGTTTTTTGACGATGTTACTGTCTTAATATACAGCTCCATTTCTTTCGTTTTAGCAAATTTACATTTATGAATGTAAAACTTTGCAAGAAATATAATGAGATTGATTACTTTTCATATTTTGTGTTGATCCTCAAGAAACCAAAAAAATACATTTTCCAATGGAAGCTCAAAGACAAGTAATAATGTCCAGGATGAATCTCCAGTGCCCTCAGGTCTTCAGGGAGGCTGTTCCACCGACATGTGTCAGAGGCTACAGGTCCTTTGTATTTAGCTGTTTGTGTTAACATCAGATTTTGGTGGAAACAGAACTAAAGTTATTTCGCCACCACTCAGCCAATCACAATCCGTGTTTCAAACAGCTGATACCGGGAATGGGAGGAAACGAGCAGCAGCAGGAGTCATGTTGCAGTTACAGACGCGGGGCGGGACTCGATCAGATCCACAAAGTTGTTGCGAAACGTCCGACCTGCAGCCCGGGACCAGTTCATAAATACTCATAAAAAGAGGAAGACTTCTGTTCTGCCAGGCTGTACAGGACACTGTGATCATGGCAGGTAAGAAGAAGCTTTGTTAATATAGGCTACATGGTTTTTAATTGACAGTGAGGAAAGTGTGCCTGAAGATCCAGTTGTTTGCTCACGGTGATGAAATCCAGATGTTGTGTTCTGCTTTATTCACTGAGGCTGACTTCCGCTGCAGTAGCGGCTGCAGAGCATGTTCTAGTCGTTCCTGCTCTATAACAATAATATAACAGGGGAGATCTGGAATGATTGTAACAATTCCCTAGGGGAAATTCATGTGTCCATTAGCTCATTGTTGATTATAATAATAGTAATAAAAACAGGTAATAATAAATAAACAATAATAATTAAATTAATCCAGTCTTTGGCTGAGTTGTTGTATAGTCTGATGGCAGTGGGTACAAAGGATCTCCTGAACCTCTCTGTTCTGCAGCGCAGTGAGATGAGGCGTTTGCTGCAGCTTTAGCTGCTTCTCTGTCCTGCCAGAATGTTGTGGAGAGGATGGTTGGTATTGTCCAAGATGGCCTCCATCTTATATTGCATGCATCTCTCCACAACAGTCCTGAGTGAGTCCAGACTCCTGCCAAGCACAGACCCAGCCTTTTTGACCAGCTTGTCCAGTCTCTTTGTGTTCATGTCTGACATGCAGCTGCCCCAGCAGACTGCAGCATGAAAGAGTACACTGTCCACCTCTGACTGATAAAACACGTGCAGCATTTCACTGAAGACGTCAATGGACCTGAGCCTCCTGAGGAAAAAGAGCCGGCTCTGCCCCTTCAGGTAGATGGCATCCATGTTCAGGGACCAGTCCAGTTTACTGTCCAGGTGCACACCTAGGTATTTATAAGTGTGCACCACCTCAGTGTCCTTCCCTTGAATGTTGACTGGCTGAAGGGTGGGCCTAGACCTCCGAAAGTCCATGACCATCTCCTTGGTCTTGGAGGTGTTCAGAAGGAGGCAGTTCTTGTTGCTCCATTCACTGAAGGCCATCGTCAGATCCCTGTACTCCACTTCCTGCCTGTTCCTGATACGCGCCACAATAGCTGTGTCATCCAAGTATTTTTCTAGATGTGGCAGGACTCAGAGTTGTATTTAAAGTTGGCCGTATACAGGGGGAACAGGAACAGAGCCAGAACAGTCCCCTGTGGAGCCCCAGTGCTGCTCATCACTGTCCCTCAGACACAGTTACTGTGGTCGTCCTGTCAGGTAATCCACAATGCAGCACGTGAAGCAGGGATCCACCCCCATCCCTTCCAGCTTGTCTTTAAGAATGGGGGGTTGGATGGTGTTAAAAGCACTTGAAAAATCAACGAACATAATCCTCATGTAACCAGCTGGCTCATCCAAGTAAGAATGGGCCGGTGGAGCATGTAAAGGACGGCATCATCCACTCCAATATGTTCTCTGTAGGTGAACTGTAGGGGGTCTAGTGCAAGTTCAACCTGTGGCCTCAGAAGGTGGAGAAGCAGCCTCTCCAGGGTCTTCATGATGTGAGGGCCACCAGTCTGTAGTCATTATCTCAGCCGGTCGTCCTACTTTAGGTACTGGAACAAGACATGATGTTTTCCACAGGACATTACAAAAACTTGATATTGAAGGTTTTTATTCAACATTATTTTTAACATAATTAGTGTGTGTGTGTGTGTGTGTGTGTGTGTGTGTGTGTGTATTGTTGTTACAACTAACCCCGACTCTTGCAGCCATGAACTAGCTTAACTTACAGCTAACAGCTAAAACATTAGCACTGACAACTAGCATGAAAAATATCTACAGAGACTCACAATAAACATGTTTAAACAAGTAAACAAATCAAAAAGTTTGAAGAGTTTAACTACAGAACAGACAGTGCTGATAAAAAAATAAATGAAGTAAAAAAAAACATACTTTCTTACCTCAACATGAGTTTGTTTTCCTTCTATAACAGTTTGTGTCTGTCACAGGGAGCTTCTTCCTCACAGGTGGGATAAGGACTAAATTGAGCAGGTACAGAGTAGATTCAGGTGATTTGTAACTCGTTCCTGATTGGAGAACTTGGAAGTGTTACAACTGACCTTTGTTACAACCATCCCTAGCCTCCCCTACATGAGATCAAGGTTTAGAGACTGTGACTGTTTCAGATGAAGCAGTGATGGTGGAGGAGGACATCGGCGGCCCGGCTCAGAGCCCGCTGGTCACAGTCACCTTCCAGAGGAACGTCCACAGGAAAGAGAAGTACCTGGAGGCTGAACCCAAAGCTCTGGGGGTACAGTGTGTGTGTGCATGTGCGTGTGTGTGTGTGTGTGTATGTGTGCATGCATGCGTGTGTGTGTGTGTGTAGCAGAATGAAAGCAAGTAAGTAAGAGTTTACAGCAAGTGTCCCCATTTCAGTCAGTGTATTGTTGATGGGTTTGGAATGTGTGTGTGTGTGTGTGTGTGTGTGTGTGTGTGTGTGTGTGTGTGTGTGTGTGTGTGTGTGTGTGTGTGTGTGTGTGTGACCCTAACCTAAGACATTCTCTCTGTGTGTTGGTTGCAGGTCACTCAGATTGGTCTCAGTGTGTTTCAGATCATCTGTGTGAGTGTGTTTCTGACCAGCGGCCTGAGTCACTTGCAGACTGACATACCCTTCCTCATTTCATCTGTACTGGTGAGCTCCAGTGATAACCCCAATATTATACTTCATATAAACAGTACAAGTCAGCTGCGTCCTGTTTGCTTTAGTTAAAATGTCAGTTTTAATCATTTAGAGTTAAAGTTCTAATCTGTAACTTTTCCACAGTAAAACATTTAAAAACAACCCGACCTATGTTCTATATGTTGTTGAGTTGTGTTCTTACATTTTCCCAAATGTCAAACCAGAGAAATCAGTGGTTTTAATCATGATAACGCTCTGTGTCATTGGTCGCCTGTCAGTGACATCATATCCTCTATGATCATGTGTCAGTGTGTTTGTCAGACAGAAGCTCAACATTGACTTTCATCTAGTTTTAAGTCACATACACCGATCTCTGAGTTTTAAAGTCAAACTGCGTCTAGTTCTTCTAGTGCATAAGTATTATAGAAACAAAGGTAACCAGTCTCATTTTCCAGTTACTTACTTTTTCTTACTCTTGTCGGAATTTCAGTCGCTTTAGTTTATTTGACTCACAAATGATCATTTCCTCTCATAAATCTTTTCAGACCACTTTATTTGCACTTTAATGACTTCCTGCCATCTTGATCATGTGATTGTGTTCTCTTCACAGGTGGTTATAGCTGGCAGTTTGGCTGTAGCAGCACAGAACCTCCATCTGCCCACGGTGAGTTCACTGACTGAAGAGGAGACAGACAACATGGAGACCAACAGTGGTCTGTGTACAGGAGGCGAACACAGTCACAGAAGCATCAGACTAATATAACAAATACCAAATACAAACCGAAACACTTCTGCTTTTCGAGGAGCAAACAGAAACTACCAGAAAATATCACAACGTTCTGTTGAACTCTTACTGGATCAAAAAAAGAACAACTCTCAGTCTCTTCCACTTCCTCTGTGAGATGAGTCAATGGTTAAGGCTGAATGGAGCCAGTTGTTAAACTATATGTGGCCATGAGTACATGTGCTCAGGATGTAGAAGAACCAGGACTGACGAGGACACTGTCATGAAGCATGTTGTAAAGAACATGGAGGAGAAGCTAAATACACTGGTGGCACTGACTCAGTAAGCAGCAGATGACAGTGATGCTGGGGATGTATGTGTGTGTGCAATAACAAATTACAGCCATGACAATTCAAAATAGTTATGAATGTATCCAGTACAAACACTGTAAGCCCAGATAAGTTGAATTTACTTAAAAATTTGGAGGAAACCGGTTGATTAAAAAAAAGTAATGTATAATGAAAACTTGAGTTAATTTAACTTAAATGCTTAAATGACTGTAATTGTTATTTTTCCATTCCATTTCAATTTAGAAGTTTCATTTGAAAATAGCATAACAGTCAAGAAACATCACGGCTTGTCTTGAAAACTTTGTGCAAGTTTATTTCTAAATATTTGAACAGAGTTTTACAACCTAGCAACCTAACCTAGTGCCTGGTGAGCTAATCAGAAACAAGTATAGAGCTACTGCATGATTTGTCTTTGCAATTTTTATTTGCGGATTTTAAGTATCAAGTATCTTATTTTTCTTTTGTAAATGTCTTAAAGTTGTGTCCCTGTGTTTATTTCCGCAGCTCAGAGCCTGTCTGGGGATGCAGATCGTGGCCTGTGGTGCCTCCCTCTTCAACATGATCTGCACTCTGGTTAAAATGGAAGAAATGCCCTCGTTCTGCTGGCATTATTACTACGACAACCTCAGTCTTCATTATGGCGAACTCTGCCATAAAATTGAGGTGATCTATAAATGTGTCTTCTTATCAAAACAATGTTTTCATAAGATTAGTAATGAAACGGTAGGTAGTGCTGGATTATAACATACTAACATTCAAAATTACCTTTTAAAAATTGTCCATTAAATTCTAAGTAAATTGTGTTATTCTAACAGTTGTATATGTTAGAATAACACAATTTATATAGACATGACAAAAAAAATCGATTAAAAAGAAAGTCAATAACTAATTTAAAGAGCACAAGATTAAAGCAGTTGAAGTGTCAGTAATTGACATGTGAAGGCAGATGCAGTCAGTGAAAGTGTAAGCATTGAAAGCACTTAAATTAAGCAATATCACACGAGAGGGAGTGATGTACTGAATATCAGCAGGGCAGTGATTCTGTTGAGGTACGGGGTCACAGGCCAGGTATATATTATTGTTATATATTATATATCATCATATATATTATTATTATGATTTGTTTGTTTATTTCATCATTTATTTGGCTATGGCTATGAATAGTTGTGCAACTGGACTGGTACCCGTCTGTTGCTAAGCAACACACAAACATTTTCCTCACCTGCACACTGGCTTGTGCTGACGTATCCAGACTTCTTCCCTTCATCATCTTCTGACAACCAGATATCATTTCATTCAAATGTTATTTCTGGAAATATTTTTCATCTTTGCAAAGTTTGTTACAATCTAAAAAAAAACAGGAGAAGAGGAAAATATGGAGCTTTAAAATTTCAGTTGAAGTGTAATCTACATTTGTAAATGTATCATGTTCAGCTGCTGTTTTGAGCAGCCTTATACAAGCACACTTCACATTTCATTCATTGTTTATCTCTCTCTCTCTCTCTCTCTCTCTCTCTCTCTCTCTCTCTCTCTCTCTCCCTATCCGGCCCAGATATAATCCTTGTAAACCTTGTCCAATTTACAGAATACCCATTCCCACTTCTACGCTGAGGGTGTGGTCATCCAGGCAGCTCTTTTGGCCATTTCAGCCACTCTGGCAGCCTACTGCTGCAAGGTGGTCAACTGCTGCGCACCAGCCCCCAAAATGGTGAGTATACACTGATGATTGCCATAGCAACTAAAGGTCCTCTGAGTAACAGGTTTTTAAAGGCCTGTTAAAGTCCAACCCAGTAGTGTTTGGAGAATTATTACATTAGCGCCCACAAAAATAAAAATCCTCACAAAGTTAAAATTACACAGTAACTTGACTATTTTGTTAGTTAAAATTAAATGTGTTCTTTCCTTGTTCCCTGTCCCTGTCAGCCGGTGATCACTGTACAAGCCCCCCCTGTCCAGCAGTGAGGAGACAGCACAGAGGAGTCACATGTAAATGCTACAAACTTAAAGCTGCACCAATCAATAATTTTAATGGATGAAATGAATATGTGTAATTAGTAAATTTTGTTACTTGTAGTATGAACACACACAGAATTATCACCAACTCTGCAATTAACCTCAGATCTTTAGCCTCTTTTAAATGAGCTATTTGTAAGCTAAATAGCTAACATTAGCATTAGCAGCTGTTTACTTACCAGTCTAGGAGTTACGTTGTGAGTTCAGCATGAGACTTCATTCTTTTACTTGCCAAGAGCTGGAAAGCAACTCAAAAGTTAACTCTTGTCTCTATCATGTCTTTTCTTCTACTGAAGTTAGCATGCTAACCAGCTAGCCCCGGCCTTATCAGCCCATCTCATCCCTTTCTTGGAGCATTTAGCCACCAAAGAGTCAGATATTTTACTCAGGAATTGGTAAGGACCAAAGCAGGACTCTAAATCAATGCTAATGTTGCTCTGTGTTTTTTGAAAGTGTAAACAAGCAACTGTTTGCTAATGCAAACTGTTTTGTGATAATGTCAGTGTTGTGTTTACAGCTTGTTTTGCTGCCCCAAGTGACAAAAAAAGTAGCTATTTGTATAATTGCACACTATGTATAATCATACATCTTTTTTTAAATCAGTTTTATATTTACTCATTCTATAATGTGAAATTTAATCATGGTCCATTGAGGCCACAAGAGGCAGTTACATGGTAAGAGAGTGAACAGGTCAAGAGCATCAGTAACACATGAATATCTGTCTAAGGTTTGCTAAAGTTAGCTAACATTAGCCATCATAAGCTACTGCACGTACCAGACTAGAGTTATGAGCCTTAGTTGTTCGGTTATGTTAGAAAACAATTTCTTCTTTTAAAGACACAGTCTCTCTGAAACACTGAGGACCATTACAGAGGGTCAATAATACAACAAATAAACTTTGTTTTAACATACGCTTACAACATTAATAACAAATAATGCAATAATGTTTTTCTGATAATATTTTTGTTCTGATTGATACTTTATTATAATCACTACCTAAATGGTGCTTCAATGTTGTCTTCTTTATCACAGCGACTAACAACTATGGATAATAAAGAGTTGACATATGTAAAGGAGTTTTGAAGTTGTTGCTTTTCTTAGCTGGACTGTTTTACAAGATTGTCTATATATCAGTGATCATTACATGTGACAGGAAAAAGACAATACCAATAACATTAACTAATTTGTTTCTACCAGTTGAGATTTGTTGTTTTTACCTGATAAATGATTTCAATCTTAATCTGTTTTCTGAAACAAATTACTTCAGCTCTACTCCCAACATGAAGAGTGAAAAATTCAGGAACATCCACTCTGCTGGATCAGTGTCAGTTAGAAACACACCTGTATTTACTGTAATTACATATCTTGTTAAGCATATTTTGTTTTTTCTAAAGCCTTAGTAGATATACATTGTTTTGCTTGTCAATGTGACAGAACAAAATCAGCTGAGTAGTGTAAACCTGTGACAGACACTTCACACACACACACACACACACACACACACACACACACGAACCAAACAATCTTGTTTTATTTGTCACTCAATTCATTCAAAAGTGTTTTTCCCCACAAATATTTAATACATTAAACACATACTTACACAGATATAGTTTAAAAAATACTTCATGATCAGATTTATAAAACAAACACAGCCAGAGGTCAGAGGTTGTATCCTGTGAGATGTTGGACCATATTTCATTACACATAATCTACATGATTCTCTGACAGCACCACAGCTCATTAAAGTCGATTCTTGCAGACTCCACTCTTTCATAGCTGCAGCTCGTCTGCCCAGTGGTTCTGTGGAGGATCAGAGGACAAGTCAGAAAAAACTACATTCACCTGTGATGCATGTTGTTCATCTGTCACGGTTCAGGTTTTAGTACAGAAGGTAATGGTGGATATGACATGAAGATAAACCTGACTGGAAAGGAAGAGACACTGACAGATGATATTTGACAGATGTGATATTTGATGATACCTGCTAATATCCAGCATATGGAGCAGTGAAATGATACATGTCTTTTCTCTATACACACATAAGACAAATACACTTAGACTAAATCGTCCTGTGACTCACTTGGGATGCAGATGGTGTGATCTCCTCTAGGTCTCCGAAGCAGCCGTGTTTATGACGGATGAGACTTCCCCACAGCACCGAGCGATGACAGGCCGGACATTCTCCCTCCACAGGCAGGAGGTGGGACGGCTCTGACTTCAGGAAGTGTTTGGCGAGGCAGATCACATGACTGCTCATTCCACAGGACGGATGGAAACAGCTCAGCTTTTCTGATACCTGAAAAAAAATGAGGGACAAAGATGCAGCAGCCAATCAGCCAATCAGCCAACCAACCAACCGACCAACCGACCAACCGACCAACCGACCAATTGACCGACTGACTGTCTGACCAACCATCCAACCAGGATGTGATTTTACTGAAATAAAGGTAATCTGATATTTGGTCAATTCTAGTTCCAGACCAAGGAACATAAGCTCAGAGCCGGTTGAAGGTCACTCAGAACTAGTTTTCTGTCAGACCACATCAAAAACAGCCACACTGGATTGTCATTTAAAAATGAGGATCAGGATCAGTCTCTCCAGGAAGACAGAGAGGAAGACTGATGGCTCCTTTCTTCTGCACAGCTCAGCTGACCAAGTGGCTATTGCTATTGGGTCTTCTGTTTTGTAAAATTACAGAAAACGGTCACCACAAACCTAACTGACGTCAGACAGATTTGGGAGAGGGGATTTCTGAAGCTCTCTGACCATCCAACAAGATGTTTGGAAGGAGTATAAAGCCTCTGGCATTATTTGCCCTCCTACCAGAGAGTATATGTGGCAGTGATTGATCCAGGTTGACAGATGAGGGGGGTGCAATAATTTTTTAACTGTGAACTATAAAGAAAATGAAATCTGTTACAAAGTGAAGTGAGCTTTGCTATTGTGTATTGTTGTATCTGACCTTCTGATACTCAGCGATATTGTGGATGGACTGTATCAAGATATTAACTGTGTAGTATATATAGTATAAATAATTCTGGATTATTGGGGCAGATACTGATATTTGGGAGTTTAAAAAGATCCAATAACTGGCTAATGGTAATTTTTTTAAACATAAACAAACACTATACAGTTCCCCTAGATAGAACTATGACCATGATAAATACTGAGCAGGACATTTTCAGTGTAAAAACCAACTTGCCTTTTTCTACAGCACCTCAAACCTACTCTGGCATTTCTATACTGACATTTGTTGTTACTTATCTGCTGACATCTACACTGACACTACAATAATCTAACATCTATCGTATGATGTAAGCCACCAAAACCAAAACTTGTGCTCATCAACTGCATCTCACAACCTGCTCTATACTGCTGTTGATAGCAGAAGAAATAGCTCCAGCACATAATTCCCCCTAACATAGATTTAACATTACATTTTGTTTTTGCTCAGATAAAGGTATTTTCCAAAATGTTGAACTACTTCCTTAATAAATAAAAAAAACAGTATCATCAAATGTTGACACAGAACTGAACAAAGTCTCCTCAGGGTCTTTACCTTGACTGAGCCTCTACAGAGAAAGCACCTGGATGCCGCCTCTGCCTCCGCCTCCTCCTGCTCCTCCTCCTGCTCCTCCTCCTCTCCTGCAGTCTGCAGCAGCCGCGTCTTCTTGGCTCTCACACTGCCAAACGCGATGGGGATGTGCAGGGGGGGCTGCAGACTGGGCTCAAAGTCCATCCTGTACTCCTGTTTGAGCCAGCGCGCCGTCAGCGGCAGTCTGTTCCACGGCGCCACCCGCAGCATGTTGGAGAGGACGCGCCAGTGGAACTGCAGGCTCGACTCTTTCCTGGAGCGCCGAGAGACGTGGGAGAGTCGCCTGGAGGAGTGAGGGTGTTGCCACGCCCACTCAAACTGACACAGAAATACCATGATGAGTTAGAGTTTATATGGATTACCATGTAATATCTAAGTCTGGTACTTAAAAAAATTAAAGAAGGGCCCACAGATGCCCTTTATTTAGCCCCCTGACATCTTCAGGTAAGCTGATCTAGAGCCTAAAAAGAAACCCTGTTCAGCAGCTGATCTCTTGTTTGTAATGTAGACTGCAAAATAACTGATGATAATTAAAACTTTTTCTTTTCATTCCCCGCACCAGAAAGCTAGTGAAGCTGAAACTAACCTGTGAATGAGATTCAGCTGCTTATTGTAGATTTAAAACTCATCAGTATTAAATTTATAGAATAAGAGTGAAAAGATGCTAAAAACTGCTGATCTGTTCTTGTTATTATACATCAGTAACCATCTACCCACTCCATGCAGGAGCTGGGAACAGTGTCCAGTGGCTGAGGCAGGAGAAAACTCCAGTGTCTGTTTCTGTAGTATCTGCTAGTGGTGTGCGGATCAATACTGAAATATTGATACTTCTGATTCCAAACATTTCTGTTCTAGGATCGATTCTCACAAGAGAGATAAGATCGATACCTCAACTCAATAATTTGGGGTAAATGTGTCTTATCATCAACAGGGACAAAGTAGAAAGTAACACTATCACTCTAAATAATACCTGGTTGATAGGAACTACTACCACCTGTCATAGTCATATGAACTACAGCTCTATAAATACATGAGCCAATCAACAGAGTGATGACAGTGATGATGGCCGAATGCAAACAAAGTCCTGTGTGGAACTTCTTTAGACAAATAATGTGAATCTGGAATGTTAATTGTAAAAAGGCTGAGGCAAGCGATTTCAAGGGGGCCTGATTCAGATGCTGAAGTGTCAATTAACATGCAACTTTTAAGTTTCATGCTCCTCGGTTGGAAACAGGCTTGTGGAGTTCAAAAGTACCCGTTGTGGTCTAAATAGAGTTTCAGTAACTTTTACACCACAAGAACAGAAACGTCAGGCAAATACCGATGACAAAATACAATAAACTGTCCCTCTGTCATTTCAAAAGCCTCTCACAGATACTTACCCTCAGGGCAGCAATGTCAGAGGGAAAGCCGTGTATAATGAGGACCATCTCCCTAATCAAAGAAAAGGAATATATGCATTAATGATTTAGTGATTCCATAGAGTCCATCATGTAGTGTGGTACAGCAGGTCATACCACGGTCCTCTTCCACTGGTCCTCTTGGCCCCCCCTCTGTGCCGGCCAGCGTTGTGTTGTCCGATCCGCCGCTCCGGGTTCACCGTGAAGCCGATGTAGATGCGGCCTTTGAATTTAGGATTGATGCAGTAAAGCATGTACACACCAAAGAAGCTCTCTACCTCAACCACCATTGTGGAAGAAAATAAGCAAAGTATTATTAATTTATTTTTATTTAACGGCTACGCACTACCCATGGCTACATAGGAGGCGGCTAAGTTAGCTTAGCTACTATAGCCATAAACGAGCCTACAGAAAAAATATTTGTAAAATAGCAGCCGATTGAATTGTGGCAATAACTCCATTATCGCCGCAATATTAATTATATTATTTGCTCTAAGACTAATGCTTTAGTTTTAAATATTTTCATAACGAGACAACCACGGTTGACTTCCTGTACGTGCCTGCATGTAAACAGTGTGTCGTAGTAGCCCACGAAGCTGCCTGATTAAATATGTTTTAAAATGATTGAATGTGTCTCACTGCGAGGCTAATGAACAGCTCACATCATATACAACAACTAATTAATAGTCGTACATATTAAAATTTATGAACTCGAAGTATATATTTTTGCTTATACGAATCACTATAAACATTTATTTTGTCGTTATATTAGGACCCCTAATATTATGATTCGCTACTTTGAAAAATGTATACCGCACCTGATTGGTCCTGGCTGTCATTGCCGTAATGCAATTGGACATTTCTTCCGTCACTTATGTAGTCAGTGACGCCCACCCCTTCACACACGGTGTCTGAAATTAGAGAGAACACCGTAACATAATCAATTTTGGTAATAGAAAAATCAAAATTTAATTTTACAACTGTGCTGTAGCTGTTTTTTCAAAGAAATATAGACATTTTAAAGTTCAAGAATCCTATAGCACTTCCGGTGTCAGCCTGTCTCTCTCTCTCTCTCTCTCTCTCCCTCTCTCAGTCTCTTGGAATCTATGAATTAGCTCGCTGTCTGTGTTACCAACGTTAACGTTACTGCCTTTGTTTATGCAGATATGGCCATAACAGCAGATCACATCCGGGATAAACTCATTAAAGAGCTCGCGGCGGTGCACGTGGTAGGTTTCTCACAGTTATTTGTACCACATGTTCCTCTAGATGAATGTATGTGCTGTAGTGAGCAGAGGGCCTCCACTGTTTCTTGTGGTTTCCTATTGCTTATCTAAGTACAAACCTGGTAGAGTATAATATAACGTTTTATAAATATTTCATAGAGCAAGTCAGCACACAGGTGAGTCATCATTCTAGATTGGCCTGTAGCTGTGGTACTCCTGGCAGCTATAGCTGACACTGAACTGCCACAGCACCAGCAACTTAGATGCCATGGTAGTGGTAACATGACATGCCACTATTTGTGACAGCTACCGGTGAGATGCCACTGTTTGGCACCTATAGTTACCATGGCAGGTGCCAATGGCTGCAGCAACCCCAGCTGCCACTGTTTGTGGCATTTTCTGTTGAGATGTGATGTCTCTCATCTCCTAAAAATTTCTTGTATATTATATTATTCACAGGCAATGTATTCCTTGAACGAATGAAGCCTGCATTTATGACCCTATAATGTTATTTTATATGTTAATATATTCTTTCCATTGTCCTTGTGTGCACACTTTACCTCTCCCAAAGTACAAAGTTCTTACCTTTTGAAAAACTGTGGTCAGCATAGGAAAGTAAAGTGCCTTTTCCTGATGCACGTTTTGTAATATAAACTATAATTATAAAAAAAAAAAGAAAAAAGTTGCATTTATAAACATTTCTCTTGTCTTCTCCAGGATGTGGAGGATACTTCACCTAACAGATGTGCTGCCAGCTTCAAAGTCCTGGTGGTGTCGTCCCAGTTTGAGGGCAAACAGCTGTTACAGAGACACAGGTATTACACTCTGCAGTAATTATTATCACAAACCAGTCCACACAGTTCATTTGCATGTTTGAAATGTGGCTGAAATCTGTGGGGTCAGATCAATTCAAAAGACGTAACAAGAAGGACCATGCTTGGGTTGTATTTGTGTTTTTATTAATTGAGACAGAACAGAACTGTCATTGTAGCTTATTATATTTTACATGTTGCTATGATAATTGATTATATAACAGCTGTGCTACATGACATCACATAATATCTGTAAGTAGAGAGCTAGTCTGTTATAGCAGGTAACGAAACAGCCTGAGCATCTGTAATTTAACTCAGGGTTTAAACATTTGTATATATTCTGTATACTGTGCTGCCCTGGGGTCATTTTTATGTAATGTAATGAGGCGACGTTGATTGTGGTGGCAATGAAAAGTGACTTAATGATGGGACTGCCAACATATAAACTGAAGTTTACAGCTACACTGAGAAAGAAACAGTTTTAATGTGGATGTCAGGCCGCGGCCAATACCTGAATCACCTAATATGCTCAGTGTTGGTGCCGATACTGATCCTGTGTATCGGTGCTTTTCTGCTAATGATGGTCGTTAACTAAAGCTTCAAATGCTAAGTAAGTTTTTTTATAGGGATTGACCGATATGTTTTTTTTTCTGGGCCGATACCAATTATCGGTAATCATGGAAACTAATAACCAATATGTGGAACTGTAATGCCAACACAAAACTACTGCTGTATAACGACACTCACTGTGGCGTCCAGGTGTTTCCATTGTGTTGTCCACCCCATTTATAATCAGTGAAAGGAGGCTAAATAACAGCAACACCTCTGTATAATGTAACACAGCTACACACACTACATCCTTCATAAGGATCATACAGTTGAATCAACTGTCTAAAACTATTTTATTACAAACTGAATATTATCGCATTCATGAAGGAGGATTTACTGCAGGACTGTTGTATTAGTCTACACCAGTTTTAGCTAGATGTTCCTAATAATATGACCACTGAGAGTACGTATATTAGTAATTATCAGCTGTATGCACAGGCTGCAAAGTGCCTGGCAGGAATTAATTGTTTAATTTCTGTGCTGTTCTCACCTGTGAACTGAATATGTACGCAGTGCGTACAGCATTATGGCTGCTGGCGCCACTGCATGGATCCATACATGCATGTAGATCCATACGAGAGTTGTTCCTTAAATGTAATACATGTGACTGTTACCTCTGCACATGTGTAAATACCTGTGTGTGGTGTGTTGTCAGGATGGTGAACACCTGCCTGGCCGAGGAGCTGAAAGAGATCCACGCCTTCGAACAGAAGACCCTCACACCAGAACAGTGGGAGAAACAGAAGTCCCAATGACACACACACACATACATAAAGTTCACACACACACACACACATACACACACACTGTATCACCCAATCACTTTATCTACTATTAAACAGGCCTTACACCTGTGTGATATGAAGAAAACTCTTTCTCTTTTTCTGTGAATCAGTAACACCGATTTAAATCCAACAGAATTCTCTTCTGGCAATAAAACACGCTGATGCTGTTTTGTCTGTTTGTTTTTTCTGAGAATCTTCAAATGTCACTTTACACACATGGACATGGATCTTTTATTCTTTAAATATAAATATAATACTATAAATTTCTGTTTGTGCACAGATTAAACACATCTATCAGTCAGTTATCAGTGAGATTTACAGGTGCTGGTAGGTGTATTTGAAGTCACAGTGAGGCTAGCTGTTTGAAGTCTTTATGCTAAGCTAGGCTAACCACAGGGTGACTCCAGCTCATCTCACCCTGGGAAAGAAAGTAAGTGTTGAACTTCTCCTGTGAAGCTGTATTCAGATCACCATGGCCTCTGAAACCTTCAATGATTCTAAGACAGTCAAGCAAGAGGCACGTAACAGGGGGTTTTTACCAGCAGCTGAATTATCCACAGAGGTGTCCTCCTCTCCATAACAAACACACCAGGGGATTCAAACCAGTAGAAACACTCAGAAAACAGTTTGACTTTAAAACTCAAAGACTCAGCGACGCTCTTCAGTGACACAGGACAGGACGTCTCCAGCAGCTGGGAGCTGAGCTGTCTAACATTTCCTCAGCTTGTTTCTCTGATAACTTCAGATCCAGACGTCCGACGACTAAAATCCTTCATCTGGTTCAAATATAGAGCTGAAAACCACCAAGGTGGAAAAAGTGTATGTGGCTTAAAACTAGATAAAAGTCAATGTTGAGCTTCTGTCAGACAAACACATGATCATAGAGGATATGATGTCATTGACAGGCGACCAATGACACAGCTGATTTCTGATAATGTAAGAACACAACTCAACAACATATAAAACATAGGTGGAGTTGTTTTTAGATGTTTTAATGAGGAAAAGTTACAGATTAGAACTTTAAGTTGTATGGTCAGAGAGAGTTCTGTGAAGTTTACTCATCATGTTCCTGCCCTGAGGGGATGAACTGCTGTTTGCCTCCTCTCTGGTGTTGCCCTAGTTTTATAGCAAATGCTCATAAAATATGAGCATTCTGTAATTCCATTAAAACTGAGCAAACTCCATCCAGAGGCTGGTTTCTCAAAGATGTGTCAGACTGGTCTGTAGTGTTGGTCCTGTGTTAATGTTGCTCACAGATCAGTCTGATGTTAGTCAGACTGTTTCAAAAAAAATAAAGACTGACTAATTTTAAGCCAAATAAACAAACATCAGACTTCAGATAGACGTCTAAATCCATCTGCTGCACAAAGCAGTTTAGCTCTTGACTGTCTTAAGCCGGACTGTGGTACAATGAATTCAATATTTTTTTTAAAATGGCCGTCTGAGGAACATTGATTGTTACCATGGTAACATTGGTCTTTGGCCTGATTTTGCCTGGGGGTGAGGTGTTTAATGTGTTTGGTTAAAAATGAGTATTTTTGTGAAAGAGTCTGACTAACGTTAAACTGGTGTGTAGGCTGGACAACACTACAGACCAGTCTGACATATCTTTGTGAAACTGGCCCCAAGCTAACTCAGGCCTAAGACCAATGTTACCATGGTAACAATCAATGACACCTGTGCTGAGCAGTAGCACCTAACAACAAGAAACAGGAAAACATGGCTCATAATTTTGTGGTTTGTTATAGAGAGAGAAATGAGAAGGGAAAGAGTGACTTTTTTTCCAAATCAGAATTAGATTTATTTAATTATTTTTTTTATTGTTATACTCTTGACTGAATTAAAACATCCTTCTCAACAGTTGAATTCTTACAGTAGACAGAACAGCAACTAAATGGACTTTGTGGTGAAGTTGTTTTTATTTTTTTTGCAGTTGTATTTTTTTAACAGGTGAAAGTTTAAACTTGAGCCAAAAGCTTTGGGCCATCGTCGGCCTGTAGGCGGCGCCAGCAGGGCTTCAGTCTAACAACAGGTCCCTGTGGGGTTTTATGAGAACAGACACACAGCTCGGTCATCAAGTCAACAACATGCAGAATATCAATGACATGAATTTACATTTAAGATACAGAACACATACTAAACACATTGTCCCCTGGTGAACGTGTGTGGTATGTATGAATACTGTGTGTGTGTGTGTGTGTGTGTGTGTGCGTGTGTGTGTTACTAAGAGTAGTGAAGCCTCACACAAAGCTCAGAGGCGTTAAGACCAGACAGGCCCCCTGCCTGTGTGGATTTCAGGGCCACACTTCACAGCTGTGTGCCTGATCAATCTGTTGATCTGTGCTGAATTTACAGCCTTCAGTCATCCACCTGAGTCCAGCCTCCAGGTGTTACCTGTGTCCAGGTGCTTTGGCAACATAGGTTTGTGATCTGTCGTACCAATAAAACTAATTTGAATTTGAATTTGAATTTGACAGACGGAGCTTAATGATCCCTCCATCCTGCAGCCATTCCAACATTCCAGTGTTTTCCCCGTCTGACTATTTTTGTGACTCAACCATTAACGAACTTTTGTTCCAACTAGAACAGACGATAGAACTGGAACCTTTCAGAGCGAGTGACTCTTTGTAATTCCCGCTCCACCGGCCTGGCTTCACCGCGAGCTTCCAGCCGCCTCTCACAGTCTTGGGACCTTTGACTGATTACGACACATTCAGGTTTCAACATATCAGACTGTCAGCATTAAAACACGAAAGCTGCTTTTGATGAAAATGGCTGAATGCTGATGTTGTTTTATCTGTCAGTGAACAGAGACAGAAACAGAGAGTGTGAGGATTACTTCCACCACTTACACTCCCAAGGCCCCGCTAATGGAAGAGCCGACATGGGGGAGAGTGTGTGTGTGTCTTTGTCTGAATGTGTTAGTGCGTGTGTTTTATTCATCTCTTCTCGGGGATGGAGAACATCACATTAAACCTCATAAATTATACCACAGCAGATTCAGCTCAGTCATGGACCACAATCATATCCGAGAGTTTCTCCTCTGTTTCAGGACACGCAGAGTTTTAAATGTTCTTTTAGTGTCTTCGATCAGTAACGTTCACACACAAATTCACAGACTCACAAATGGATCGCTGAGAAGGGCTGAAGGAGGTTTCCTGGATTTTTCTTTTATACTTTTGTCAACAATAGAATCCAGTGGTGGAAAGTAATTAAGTACATTTAATCAAGTGCTGTACTTAAGTACAGTTTTGAGGCACTTGTACTTGTACTTTTACTTGGGTATTTACATGTTATCAGTGGGGATCCGTCAGGGTTTTCATTTCATTCAGTTATTTTCTTCTGATTCTAATTTTAGCCTCATTTTCATCAGATTTGCTTCAGACATGAAAGAGTTACTGTCCTAAAACCTTGAAAAGTTACAGTTATCCAATCACATTTTTTCTTTTTCTTTTTCTTTTTTTTGTTGTTGTTTCTAGGCGGAGAAAAGATTAGCTGGCTCACTCATTGGCTAGGACTTCATCACGGGACAGATCTCACCTGTCTGGCTGTGAGCACGTTCATGTGAAAGAGGCGGAGATTTTAATTATAAGCAACATCGTCAGAACCATGGATAAAGTTCCTAATATGATATGAAAAGAAACACTGATGAAGGTGAATTCTTTTATAGTGACGTCATAAGTGAAATTCAACAAGGTGAAATGTAAACAACATGATGATAATTATTAAAGTCAGACTAAGGATATACTGTAAACAAGTGAATGAATTATCATTAGTCCTAACTGAGTATTTTCGCTCTTTGTCTGATGATGAACAAACTGTTGTGAACAGGAGATGCAGATGAAACAGTTAAAGTTAATGTCAGACTGTTTCTGCTGCAGAGAGGAGAGAAAGAAAAGAGGAGAGAAGTAGTTGATGTCTGACGAGGCAGTCTGACTGAAATGTTCATTTATAATCATGGAAATAATTAACAGTGTGTGGCTAATTGTTCTAATCAAAGACATCAGAGGTTTAGTTTTTATTTCCACTTGTGGTCACGGAGTCTCCTCATGTTGTTCTGAGCTGCAGTGATGAAGAAGAGAGTAAAAGCTTCATCACTGTCAGGAATCCTGTCGGATTAAAGAATCTGTGTTCAGGTCAAATGAAGCTCTATTAGTTATTATGTAGTTATTTAATGTGACAAACTCTCCTCTGTCTGTTAGAAGCTCTGGTTTAAAACCAGTGTAACACATGGAAAGACTCAAACAGCAAAACCATCTACTGATCTTAACACACATCTAGTGTTGACAGGTTTTGATGTGATCCTCTGAAGTTAACTTGTACAGGAGCAGGTTAGGAGTTCAGCATAAGTTACCATGGTGATTTACCCTGGTCACAAATGAATCATCATCGTAGGACTGAAAACCCAGAGTTAAACCTGAAGTTCTACGGCACTACAACTCAAAGGGACATGTTTACTCCACCACATTTATCTGACAGCTGCAGTCACTGGTGACCTTTCAGATTAAGATATTTTGTAAAAAAAACAACAAAAAGAACATACTATTTTAACCCAGACATTACCAATTGTTAAGGCTTGTGACTCTTTACAATAAAGCAGTGTCTAGTTATGGCTCATTGTCTATGAGTTGTTAGCAACTCCACCTTCAGATGGATTCATTTACAACAGTTTGATGTCAAATTATTCACAATAAAAGCAAAGATTAGAGAAAAGCCCCAAAACTAAACAGAGATCTGTGTATAACAAAAAAAAGAAATGTGTTTTATTCTTCTTTCCCATACAGAAATGTAATATATGACTTATATGTATGTCCCTATATTGAGAGTGATGTTGCCATATATATGTCACCCATAAGGGGATATATTATTATCGCAAAGATACATCCTCTGGCTATATGAAGCTATACATTTATAACATAGGCTATGTGAAATACCCATAGTAAAATTTGTATATGTACATACGCATATTAAAAATATCTATATGATGAATTTTTATATCATTTAACATGTTGTGAGCATATGTTAATGATATATATTTAATTTATATATGAGGATTTATTAAAACAACTTACATTTTTAAAATTAATTTCTCATTAATTTTAAACATGTCACACATATCTTCTCATTCTGGGAAAGTGGTTCCAGACTTTTGGAACCCACTGTATAA